CCATCTACCTATGAGGAGGTTAAGGCACAGGGGTTAAGAAACTTGACCAAGTTTGCACAGCCTAGAAAGGTTTGGAGGGATGGATGTCCCTCTCTGAGTACCATCACCTGAAAGACAGCTATTGGTGGGTTGATTATCAAGTCAGAGGGCCCATGGGTGTCTTCCTCTTACTGAGGGATTCTTGAGAGATAGAGATAGATAGATAGATAGATAGATAGATAGATAGATAATAGATAGATAGATAGATAGATAGATAGATAGATAGATAGATAATAGATAGATGATGATAGATAGATAGATAGATAGATAGATAGATAGATAGATAGATAGATAGATAGAGTGGGGAGGGAGTGAGATAGATAGATATAGAATCTCAGAGAAATAACCTCATGCCAGGAAACCAACCCTTTGGGTCCCTTGACCCTCCCCATTTTTTTGTTTGTTTGTGTTTTGTTTTTTTGTTAATCCTCACCCAAGGATATTTTTCCATTGATATTTAGAGAGAGTAGAAGGGAGGGGGAAAGACAGAGAGAGAGAGACACATCAATTGATTGCCTCCTGCACATGTTCCACCAGGGCCAGGGATTGAGCCTGCAACTAAAGTACATGCCCTTGACCAGTATCAAACCTGGGATCCTGTAGTCCAAGGGCCGATGTTCTATCCACTGAGCCAAACCAGCTAGAGCAACTCTCCTCATTTTAAAGCCAGGATCACTCTCCTGTCCCTGGCTCTAGACCAGTGGTTTTCAACCTGTGGGTCACGACCCCTTTGGCGGTCGAACGACCCTTTCACAGGGGTCACCTAAGACCATCCTGCATATCAGATATTTACATGACGATTCATAACAGTAGCAACATTACAGTTATGAAGTAGCAACGAAAATAATGTTATGGTTGGGTCACAACATGAGGAACTGTGTTTAAAGGGCCAGAAGGTTGAGAACCACTGCTTTAGACCCAACCCATATGATGGCCATTAGCCACACCTGGCTATTGAATACCAGAAATGTGACTTATCTAAACCGATATGTGCCAGTGTGAAATACAGGCCAGATCTTGAATGTAAAATAAAAGTGCTTTCAAAAATTAAAAATATATATTGGCCCTGGACAGGTAGCTCAGTTGGTTAAAGCATCCTCCCCACACACCAAGGTTGTGGGTTCAATCCGCGGTCAGGGCACATACAAGAATCAACCAATGAATAATGCAGCATAAGTGGGACAACAAATCCATCTCTCTCTCTCTCTCTCTCTCTCTCTCTCTCTCTCTCTCTCTCTCATCAATTTTTAAAAATATCTGTATGACGGCAGGAAGCAGCTAATCACAGCTGAAGGTTCCAAGCCCTGATTCTCAAGCTTGGCCTCAACTGCAATCACCTGGGACTCTTTAAAAGAACCCCTACGTCTGAGCAGCCCTCACTGACCTAGACGTTAGACTCAGTGGGCCTTGGTACTTTGAAACGATGCTCGAGGCAGGTGAGTTTAACACGCAGCCAAGGGTGAGAACACCGGGAATGGATGCTCAAATTAGAGAAAGGGTCTTCACCTATCAGTAATCACGCTGGAGACGGGAAGTTCTCGGCAGCGGGCCAATCCCAGAGCTTGGGTGGAAAGACACACTTCTTATAGGTGGGTTTCCAAACCTCAGACGTCGTGGCCGTGGCTGGAGAATGGGTCCGGGTGTTGGTGAGGTGAGTAACATCCCGGCTTCTTCTTTACTCCATGTCTCTCTGTCTTCATTCAGCTGTTAAGTCTACAATAAATATGCCTCCTCTCTTTTTTTTGAATGTTTGCATGTTAAACCTTTGACGTTTCAAGTCAGATTCCCCTCTGACCATGACGCCTATAACTTTGAATAGTTTTTTTCCTCTTGCTGAAACTCAGTTTCCTAAGATCACTGGGTATAAATGTAAGTTGGATTAACTTTGGCCAAATGAGAACAACATGAAATAACCTGTTTTATGTAAAACGTGTGCTACTTGCAACGAACGTTTTTAAGGGTAAAAGACACACCCCGTGGTCAACAGGCTAATGTGTGGCCATATGAAGCCAGATCCAAGCTCCCATTTTCCCTAAAGCCGGTATCGAATCTCTAATTTCACTCTCTTAGCCAAGTTTCTAGAAATAGAAGTATAACTTTGGTTCATAGGCTGATGCTCAACCACTGAGGCATGCTAGCTGGGCACATACAGATATTTTTAAAAATTGATGTGAGAGGCTGGAGGAGGGAGAGAGAGAGAGAGAGAGAGAGAGAGAGAAATGTTCTTCCATTTATTTTATGCCCATGCCTCCACGTCAAGACACCTCATGCATGTTTCTGCCCTTCACAGTCTAGCTTCTTGCCCTACCGTTCCCCTGAAATTGCTCTTCTTAAGATCTCGTCTGACAAACACAAAGATTAGTTGGGGTCCTTCTCTGACGGGTCTCCATAAGGCAGCTGAATCGTTGTTCCAGGAGATATGTCCTCGTACAAAAAAAAATGCAGGCTAGTTAAAGACCGGAAGGTCAAGACCAGTCCTAAGAATCTGCCGTTAACGTTTCTTTTGTTGGTTAACATTTTTTAAATTACACTGATATTCGCTATTTTATATTCGCTTCAGGTGTAGAGCGCAGTGGGTAGACATTTATATAACTTATGACGTGATTTCCCCCGACAAGTCTAGTAACCATTTGGCCCCAAACATAGTCGTTACAATATTATTGACTCTGTTCCTTATGTTGTGATTTGCATCCCTGTGACGATTTTGTAACTACCAACTTGTACTTGTTCATCCTTCCCCCTTGTCACCCAGCCCCCCCCCCAACTCTCCTCCCCTCTGGCAACCCTTACGCAGTCTGTTCCCTGTGTCTATGAGTCTGTTCCTGTTTTGTTTCTTCATTTATTTTGTTCTTTCGATTCCACACATAAGGGTCCCACGGTTACATCTCAATGTAAATACAGTGGGGCCTTGACTTACAAGTGTCCAGACTAACGAGTTTTTTGAGATACCGGCTGTCTCTCGGCCGATTTTTTGCATTGAGTTGATAGAGTAATTTGAGTTAACGAGCTCCTTAAATCCTTGATAAATAACCCTTGATAAAATATTTTCCTTTACATATTTAGGAATATGTAATTATTCGGATTCTTTCTTTTTTCCGGGTTAGTTCTTATTTATTATTTATTGAGTTTTAGAAAGAGAGAGAGTGAGATGGAGAAAGAGAGAGAGAGAGAAACATTCATGTGAGAGACATCAACTGGAGCTGGGCTTGAACCTGCAACCCTGGTATGTGCTCTTGACTGGGCCAACATCCTAACCATTGGGCACCATGGGCCAGGGCAGAACATCCAAATCTTATTATTATTTTTACAACCAATAAGCAGACTCTAGATGTTCTTATTTTGGTTTTGACCGAGAGCATTGATGCTGACAAGTATTTTCCCACGAGATATTACAAAGTGGCCAGTTGCGTGGACTGTTGGAATAACCTCTTTGTGACCAGCTGCTACAGTAAATAGGGCCGAGGTCAGTAAGTTATTTTACCACCAGCTTGGACTCTCTAACCCAGGGGTCCTCAAACTTTTTAAACAGGGGGCCAGTTCACTGTCCCTCAGACCGTTGGAGGGCCGGACTATAGTTTAAAAAAAAAACTATGAACAAATTCCTATGCACACTGCACATATCTTATTTTGAAGTAAAAAAACAAAACGGGAACAAATACAATATTTGTATTTGCATGTGGCCCGAGGGCCGTAGTTTGAGGACCCCTGCAAATCTCCTTTCCCTGTGTTTTAAAAGGATCACCCTTACAAATGACCTCATTCAAGTCTTTCAACAAGGGCTAAATTATATGCTTAACACCTGATTCGCATATAAATAGCATTAGGAATGGGGTAGTTGCCATGGTCTTTTTTGTTATTGTTGTTGACACTATTAAGGTCCCCCATTTTCCCATCCTTTGCCCACCTCCATCCAGCCTGCCTCCTCTGGCCACAACCACCCTTGTCTGTGTCTATGGGTTATGCATATATGTCCTTTGGGTAATCCCTTCACCTTCTTTTATCCAGTCCCTCCCACTCCCCTTCCCTCCTACAGCTGTCTGTCCCAGGTACCCATGCCTCTGCTTCTATTGTGTTCATCAGTTTATTTTGTTCATTAGACTCCACATGTAAGTGAGATCATATGGTATTTGTCTAATCTCCAGGTCCATCCATGCTGTTGCAAAAGGTAAGATTTCCTTCTCTTTTTTTAAAATATTTTTATTGATTTCAGAGAGGAAGGGAGAGGGAGAGAGAGATGGAAACATTGATGAGAGAGAATCATTGATTGGCTGCCTCTTGCACGCCCCACACTGGGGAATGAGCCCAAAACCTGGGCACGTGACCTGACTGGGAATCGAACCACGACCTCCTGGTTCATAGGTCGACGCTCAACCACTGAGCCACACTACTGGCTGGGGATTTCCTTCTTTACAGCCACATAGTATTGCATTGTGTAAATGTACCACCCCCTTTTTTTTTACTTTTTTTATTTATTTATTTTTAGCTTATTGTTGACAGTATTACCCCTTTTTTTTTTACTTTATTTATTTATTTATTTTTAGCTTATTGTTGACAGTATTACAGATGTCCCCCATTTTCCCCTTCTTTGCCTCTCTCCACCCAGCCCTCACCCCACCCCAGGCCTTCCCCACACTATTGTCTGTGTCCATGGGCTATGCCTGTATGCATATGTGTCCTTTGGTTAGCCCTGCTCGTCCCCTCCATCCTCCTCCCCTCTGAGGTCTGTCTGTCTGTTCCACGTATCCATGTCTCTAGACCTATTTTGTTCATCAGTTTATTTTGTCATTAGATTCCACATATCAGTGAAATCATGGTGATAGTTGTCTTTCTCTGACTGGCTTATGTCACTTAGAATACTACTCTCCAGGTCCCTCCAGGCTGTCGCCAAAGGTAAGAGTTCCTTCTTTCTCATGGCTGCGTAGTATTCCATTGTCAAAAGCTCAGCTCTCCCAAGTAGGACAAGATGGATTTCAACCTGAGGCCTCTCCTGGAACAGCTGGAGCTGGAGGAGCTGAACAAGTTCAAGTCTCTGCTGAGGACCCTTCCCCCAGAAGATGAGTTACAGCACGTGTCCCAGACGGAGGTGGACGAGGCCAACGGACAGCAGCTGGCGGAGATTCTCACCACCCGCTGCCCCATCTTTTGGGTGGAGATGGTGACCATCCAGGTCTTTGACAAGATGAACCGAACGGATCTGTCCAAGAGAGCCAAGGATGAGCTCAGAGGTGAGCCGACGGGAGGCCACCCTGGGTCCGGGGGCGGGGGGCGGGGGGAGTGGGAGTGCCCAGGGTTTGAGAAACACAGAGATAACAGTGAGCCTTGGAGGGGCTACCTGGGATCAACACAAAGTGTCATTCTTACATCCTCGCCATTTCTTACATCCTCACCATTTCTATTCTTTCTGGGTCCTGTATACCTACCCTGGGCTCCTCACCATACATCCCTTCTTCTGTTCTAAACTGTTTCTGAAATGTATTCATGATTGTCTTCCTTCCTTCCTTTGTGTTTGTTTGTTTATTTATTCATTTATTTTTATTTGAATTTATTGGGGGTGACATTGATTCGCAAAACCATACAGGTTTCAACGGTACAGCTCAACAAAACACCATCTGCACACTGCATTGTACGCCCATTTCCCCAAGCAAAGTCACTTTCCGTCCCCCTTCCCCGCCCTCGTGCCCACCTCCACCCCCGCACTCTTCCACCCCCCTATATATGTTCTTTGGCTGATCCCTTCACCTTCCTTCATCCAGTCCCTCAACCCTCCTCCCCTCTGACAGCTGTCAGTCTGTTCCATGCATCCATGCTTCAGTTTCTATTTTGTTCATCAGTTTCTTTTGTTCATGGATTTCCACATATAAGTGAGATTATATGGTATTTGTCTTTCTCTGACTGACCTGTTTCACTTAGCGTAATGCTCTCCAGGTCCACCCATGCTGTCAAAAAAGGTAAGAGTTCCTTCTTTTTTACAGCTGTATAGTATTCCATTGTGTAGATGTACCACAGCTTTTTTATCCACTCACTGGGGCTGTTTCCAGATCTGGGCTGTTGTAAATTGTGCTGCTATGAACATATGGCTGCATATATTCTTTCAAATTCGTGTTTCAAGTTTCTTAGGATATATTTTCAAAAGTGAGATCAGATGCTCTATCCACTGAGCCAAACCGGTTTCGGCAAGTTCCTTCTTTTTTACAGCTGTATAGTATTCCATTGTGTAGATGTACCACAGCTTTTTTATCCACTCACTGGGGCTGTTTCCAGATCTGGGCTGTTGTAAATTGTGCTGCTATGAACATATGGCTGCATATATTCTTTCAAATTCGTGTTTCAAGTTTCTTAGGATATATTTTCAAAAGTGAGATCACTGGGTCAGATGGCAGCTCCATTTTTAACTTTTTGAGGAAACTCCATACTGTTCTCCACAGTGGCTGCACCAGTCTGCATTCCCACCAGCAGTGCACGAGGGTTCCCTTTTCTCCACATCCTCGCCAGCACTTGTCGTTTGTTGGTTTATGGTCGCCATTCTGGCAGGTGCAAGGTGATACCTCCTTGTGGTTTTAATTTGCATCTCTCGCCTGTCCTCCACAATGTTAAATCAGTGCGTAACCTCTGTTTTGTTTTTAATTCCTACTTGTAATGTTTCTTTCCCACATAGTTTTGTCTATAAACATACTTACACACATTCATATACTGAAACCCCTATTGTCCTTTAGGTCAGCAGCATTGGGGGCTGGGTGACTCTCTTGGGGGAAAGAAAGGGACATTCTGTGCACTGTAGGATAGTTAGCAGCATCCCTGGTACCTGGGTGCTAGCATCCCAACACCTCTAACCCTTACATGCTTGCAGCACACTGCCTCCTCTCCCCCCCCGCCGCCCCCCACTGGTGACAACCAATGATGTCTACACATATGGCCAAATGTTCCCTTTACGGGGAAAATGGCCCTGAGTGGAGATCCATGTTTCATGTCACGGGGTCCCCAACTCTCACCATTCTCAGCAATCTCCTGGGGAGCTTGAAATATACTGACATCTGGAACCTATCGCTGGAGACACCCATTTAACTAATTGATCTATGGCTCCCCCTAGGCATGTAATTCCTTTTTTATTATTACAATTTGACATTCACTATTATTTTGTATTAGTTTCAGGTGGATGGTGAGTGGTTAGACATTTGTATACTTTACCAAGTGATTCCTTCAATAACTATAGTCCCCATCTGACACCATACATAGTTATTACAATACTGGTTTGTTTGGGAAGGGTTCTTTATCTTTATTGTTGAAAGTATTACAGATGTCCCCCTTCATCCCCCATGGACTCCCTCTACCCGACTCCCACCTCCTCCCCAGGCCTGCACGGCAATACTGTCTGTATCCATGGGTGATGCATAGGTGTATGTAAGTTCTTTGGCTAATCTCTCCTGCCCCCCTCCCAATACTATTGACTATATTCCCTATGCTGTACGTTGCATCCTGTGACTATTCTGTGACTTCAATTTGCACTTTTTAAAATATATTTTTATTGGTTTCAGAGAGGAAGGGAGAGAGAGAGAGAGAGACATCAATGATGAGAGAGAACCAGTAATCAGCTGCCCCTTGCATGCCACCCACTGGAGACCGAGCCCACAACCCAGGCATGTACCCTGCTCCTGACCTGGAACGCTCAACCACTGAGCCACGTGGGCTGGGCCCAATTTGTACTTGTTAAGATCCCTTCCCCTTTTTCACTCAGCAACCCAAGCCCCTCTCATCTGACAACCACCAGTCTGTTCTCTGAGTCTGTTTCTCTTTGGTTTGTTTGTTTGTTCTGTTCTTTAGATCCACAGATGCGTGAGATCCTGCGGTACTTGTCTTTCTCTGCCTGGCTCATTTCACTGAGGATCATACCCTCTAGGTCCAGCCATAGGCATGGGATTCTTCAAGGTTTCCTAGGTGATGCTTGTGTACATCCCAAGTTTTATAATTCCTACTTAGAGGGCTCTGCTTCCTGACAGAGTAGCTACCTCCTATGACTTTCTTTTTAAAAATTTTCTGGCCAGGCCGGTGTGGCTCAGTGGTTGAGCACTGATCTATGAACCAGAAGGTCACGGTTCAATTATCGGTCAGGGCACATGCCCAAGTTTCGGGCTCCATCCCCAGTAGAGGGTGTGCGGGAGGCAGCTGATCCATGATTCTCTCTCATCATTGATGTTTCTATCTCTCTCTCCCTCTCCCTTCCTCTCTGAAATCGATAAAAAATATATATATTTAAAATTGTTCTGGTTTTATTCCAGCTGGGGCTTCATTTTTAGCTTAGTGTCCCCTGTCTTTATACATATAGATATACATATACATATACATATACATATACATATACATATACATATACATATTCAGAGAGATATACATATACATATACATATACATATACATATACATATACATATACATATACATATACATATACATATACATATACATATACATATACATATACATATACATATACATATACATATACATATACATATACATATACATATACATATACATATACATATACATATACATATACATATACATATTCAGAGAGTAAAGGAGAGGGAGAGAGATAGAAACATCAATGATAAGAGAGAATCATGGATCAGCTGCCTCCTGCACACCCCACACTGGGGATCAAGCCTGCAACCCAGGCATGTGCCCTGACTGGGAATCAAACCGTGACCTCCAGGTTCATAGGTCGACGCTCAACCACTGAGCATGCCAGCCGGGCTGTTCCCCGCCTTCAACAGACAGGTGAAGGATTAGCCCTCGCCGGCCTCTGGGGCAATTACAGGTTTGAAAGCAGCATGAGGAACATCAGCGTTGTACTCAGTTCAGGGTCTGGCTCTGAAAACTGCACATGTCTCTCCCCTCCTGCTTTTTCAGAAGCGGCTTTGAAGTCTCTGCAGAAAAACAAGGTTCCATTGTCAGGTACGTTACCTCCTTGACAGTCTTTTTTTTTTTTTTAATGTGAGATTTGGGGATTTAGGGACAAGATATTATGCCAAGCGCTAAGACGGCAAAGAAATACAAGACTTCCTCTCTTCTGCAGTAAGGCAGGTGGCAGTGGTAAGAGGTGTAAGACGTGGAAAGGTAACATGAGGCCGTATTTATACTAGAAATCAGAGTGAACTTTCTCTTGGAATCTAGATACTCTGGGTGTTAGACTGACCTGTGGCAGAGGTGGCCAAGCTATGACTCACAAAGCAAAGTCCCACCCACCTACAAGCTAAGAATAGCTTTCACTTTTTTTGTTTGTGTGTTTATTTTGTTTTTTTGTTTTTTGTGGGTTGTTTTTGTTTTTTGTTTGGGTTTTTTTGTTTTGTTTTGTTTTTTGGTTAATCTTACCCCACGACATTTTTCCCATTGATTTTTAGAGTGGAAGAGCGGGAGAGGGAGGGAAAAGGAGAGAGAAAGAGAGAGAAGCATCAATGTGTGAGAGATACACATGGATTGGTTGCCTCACACATGTGCCCGACCTGGGCTGGGAATCAAACCTGCAATCCAAGTACATGCCCTTGACTGGGAATCAAACTCGCAACCCTTCAATGCTTGGGCCGACGCTCTAACCACTAAACCACAACAGCCAGGGCTTGGACCATGTATTCTTTTTTTTATTTTTTGAGGGGGGTGTGGAGGACATCGACTTGTTCCACTTATTGATGCTTTCATTGACTGATTCTTGTATGTGCCCTGACCAGGGATTGAACTCACAACCTTGGCATGTTGACATGACATGCTAACCACTGAGCTCTCTGGCCAGGACCATGTATTCTTAACTCCATCGGCAGCCCCTTGCCAGAAAAGGCATGTAAGCCTGATGTCATGGCCTGGCACGCTTCGTCTCCCATATTTCCTTAGCGTTCTTTCTATGTGACCTGGGCTTAAACATGGAGATCCAACTGTTGACCTTGAACCACTTTGAAGTCCCACCTCTGCCAAACAGAAGGCTCCATACTGGTACAGGGACAAGCCCATGTTGTCCCCTCTTTTCTTCAGGGATAGCACGAATTCGGGAACCCAAATGTGCAAACGAGGAAGAAATACAACAGCATTTAGAAGAAGGAGGAGAAGGAGGAGGAGGAGAAGGGGAAGAGCCAGGTTGGTCTTGGAACGTCCAGTGTTAGAGGAAGCTAAGGGAAGCCACCCCTTTTCCACCCCTTTGTGTGTGTGTTTTGGGGGGATGGGTTAAGAGAGGGAGCGGGAGAGAGAGAGAGAGAAGACATTGATATGAATGAGAAGCATTGATTGATTGCCTCCTTCACATGCCCAGACCGGGGACCAAACCCAAAACCTAGGTATGTGCCCTGACCGGACTCAAACCCGTGACCTTTGGTTGCACGGGAGGATGCTCCAACCAATCGAGTCACACTTGCCAGCACAAATTGTAGACAAAGAATTTAGACTCTCTACTCCTTGGAGCCAATTTGTCATCACACTTCTGATGAGGTAACTACACCTATTTTTTTAAGTATTCTATCTTTTTATTTTTTAATTACAGTTGACATACAATATAGGTTCAGGTATACATCATAGTGATTAGACGTTTATATAACTTAAAACATGTTCCCCCTGATCAGTCTAGTACCCACCTGGCACCATACAAAGTTATTGCGGTGATATTCTTTTCCTTTTTTATTGAATCTATTGGGGTGATATGAATTAATAAAATACATGTTTCAGGGGTACAGTTCTACAACACATCATCTGTAGATTGTCTTGTGTGTTCACCACCCCAAGTCAAGTCTCCTTCCATCTCCATTTATCTCCCTTTTACCTTCTATTGTCCCCTGACACTGTTTCCCCCTAGGAATCACCAAACTGTAATCACCAAGCTGTTGTCTGTGTCTATGAGGTTGTGTTATTATTGTTGTTACTGGGTTTTGTTTGGTTTAATCCTTTCACCTTTTTCACGCAGACCCACACACCCCTTCCCCTCTGGCAGCTGTCAACCTGTTCTCTGTATCTGTGAGTCTGTTGTTGTTGTTTTTTTAAATATTTTTTTGTTGTGGGTCTAGAATTTAGCTCATGTGCACGTGGATATTTATTTATTTTTTTTAAAATTAAATCTTTATTGTTCAGATTATTACAGTTGTTCCTCTTTTTTCCCCCCATAGCTCCCCTCCACCAGGTTCCCACCCCACCCTCTGCCCTTACCCCTTCTCCTCCACTGTCCTCATCCATAGGTGTATGATTTTGTCCAGTCTCTTCCCGCACCCCCCACACCCCTTTCCCCCCTGAGAATAGTCAGTCCACTCCCTTTCTATGCCCCTGATTCTATTATATTCACCA